CTATAAATTGGTTGAGGGAGGTAATTCTCTCCTTCGATTCGGATGTCTGGGTACCGCTGACTAATAACCCGCATGTACTCCTCAAACACCCGCCTGTAACCTCAGGAAACACTGCAGAAAAATAAGTGTTTCCATTAGGGTTGAGAATACACCTAGATTTATTCTGCAGTCAGAAAAAGGCTAAAAAGTATTACTAAGATTAAATTTCTTTCTCAAGATCCATCGTAAATTAATGACTGAACCCATATGATGAATACAGGGAGTTTTCTTCCTTTTTACAAATTTCACAAATTTAAGTTACTTTACCTTCAAATAACTGCTCCCCCATTATAAAAATCAAACTTTTATAACTTTGGACTATTGTTAGACAACAGCAAATACCTATTCTCTCTCTCTGACACACATACATATACACACACATATTCAGTATAACTCACATATCACTTTGGCCTTCAATCATAAGAGAAACTTAGGCTGGACTATTAGATCCCTTCTTATGCTAAAATTTAAATCTACTTTGTGAAGGAAAACAAAGACTGGGAAGGTAATTCTCAGCAACATGACATGACTCTGGAAATTAAGTCAACAGCATCTAATCTTCTCCACGACAAAAGTCTCTAAACAATTTACTTTCAGATGCTAGCTGTCCCAGCAAGAATAGGAAAATATGCTACCAAGAGCATATCTGAAGAAAAGGAGAAAAAGAGCTTGCAAATTCAGGTAAACTGTCAAGCACTTAAACTTACTAGGTTCTCAATTAAGGAATACATAAATACCATAAAGTGACAAAGTCACCACTTAGTATAGAGGAAGCAGGGTCAGTAAGTTACAGTGGAGTAAAACCTAAGAAAAAAACCCCAACGACCACCATTACCAATCCAAGTTGGAAAAACAGAGAGTTTACACTGTGATAGAGTGAAACAATATAAATGTTAGTATATCCCATGTAAGAAAACCTGCTTTTAAAAAAAAGCTACGCATGGTGGTGCACACCTGTTAATTCCAAATCCCAGCAACTTGGAGGCTAAGGCAAGAGGATAGCAAGTCTGAGGCCAGCCTTGGCGACTCAGTGACACCTTGTCTCAAAATAAAACAAAAAGAGTGAGGTTGGGGATGTAGCTCAGTGGCAGAGTGCTGGCTTACCATGTCCAAAACCCTGGGTTGATTCCTARCACTACCAAAAGAACGAAACAGGGCAGGGTGTGTGTGTGTGTGGGGGGGGGGGGCTCAGTGGTAGAGGGCCTCTCAGTTCAATCCCCAGCATCAAAAAAAGAGTAAAAGAGGACTGGGGTTATAGATCAGCAGTAGAATGCTCACCTAGCATGTGGGAGGCCCTGGGATCGATCCCCAGTACCACATAAAAATAAATAAATAAAGGTATTATGTCCAAATACAACTAAAAAATAAGTATTAAAAAAAAGAGTGTAAGACAAATTTGACTGTCATTCTTTAGAGAAAATATTTCCTTTACTGTTAGAATGAAATTTTTTCAAGAGTAAATCTCTAAAAACATATGAATTTTTTTCAGAGATAAAACCTCTACAGCTAAATATTTAAACAAACTTACAAATCTCCAGATGCCTTTTCTTTTTTTCTTTTTCTTTTTTTTTTTTTAGAGAGAGAGAGAGAGAGAGAGAGAGAGAGATAATTTTTTAATATTTATTTTTTTAGTTTTTGGCGTACACAACATCTTTGTATGTGGTGCTGAGGATCGAACCCGGGCCACATGCATGCCAGGTGAGTGCGCTACCGCTTGAGCCACATCCCCAGCCCTCCAGATGCCTTTTCTAACAACCACCTAGCCTAATATTATTATTACATTATATTTTTTATTCTTTTTAATCAATATCCTGAGCTTTTTTCTGAGTTCATATTATTAATCTGATGTAATTCCAAATTTATAGAAGAGTTATAAGAATGGTGCAAAGATCCTAGGTAAATCCTATACCAGATCACCAGGTATTAGTATTCTGCCATAAGTTTCTATAATAAAAGTTTAATGTTTCTTTTGTTCTGAAGCTATTACAAAAATAACCTAGACAACCTTAGGCCTAACCATCTTAAAACCAAGAAATGCCACCTGATTTCAATGCCCAAATTGGCACTGGTGTCTACAATGGAGCTGATTATCTAAAATAATAGTATTTAACTTTTGTGTGTGTGTGTGTGTGTGTGTGTACCTGGGATTGAACCCAGAGGCAGCTTAACTACTGAGCCCCATTTCCAGACCCTTTTTTAATTTTAAATTTTGATACAGGGTCTCACTAATTTGCTTTGGGCCTCACTAAGTTGCTGAACTTGTAACCCTCCTACCTCAGCCTCCTGAGCCCCTGCAATTACAGGTGTACACCAAAGTATTTAACTTTTAATGCAATATTTGAGAATGAGACTTGGTTAATTTAGTTGAAACTTCTTTTTCATAGATGAAAGGGGAGAAAATGAAGCCCAGAGAGATCAAGTAACTTTTCCAAGTATACATTCATCTAAGATTTCACTTGTTCAGTTATCTACGGAACGCCTATCACGCATCAAGCACTGTAATTAGGCAGTGGTTTTTAGCAGTTGACACTGATAGATGCGGCCCTTAGTTTCAGGACTGAAATATAGCCGGATTTTATGATTTGGGATCCTGGGCCTTTTCTACCTAACACCAAATACAATAGCTACATGAAGAAGAGCCATCCTTTCCTGTATCTGGGAAGTCTGCTCCCCTTCCCCACAGTGCCAGCACTGGGTACCCACAGAGCTGGACTCTAGACTGCAGAGATCTTTGAGGCTCCTTCATGATGACAATACAAAGGCTCTCCACATAGGAAAGTCAATCTTGTGGGCTCCCAGCAGTACCTAAAGGAAAGAGGCCCAGCTGGAGAGGCGTGTCTGAGTGCAGGAAACACTGCTGGTCAGACTCCTCCCAGTGACCCACTTTCTCAGCTATGTGCTTAAAAGCCTAAATTGACCCTTTGTTCTTCTAATCTAAAGTCTTCAGTTAAGTTTCAGACCTTGCATGAAATTCCAAATAGAAATGGCCTGTAATCTCACAGTCCAAAAAAAGATTTTAGGCTAATACTTTTCTATTTCTGAAGAATGAAGTGTTTCCGAGGCTGCCACACATGATTTGACATGTTGCTTGTGCAATTCCTCTTTGTATTTGCCTTCAGACTAGTGAAGAAAAACCAAAGAACTTTTTTCCAGTATAGCTGTTTTCCCCCCAAATAATTTTCCCATCTTAAAAGCACTAATCATGACTACAAACAGATGTTTTCCAAGATGAAACATACCTAGGGCTTGCTGAGGTGGCCAACGCTAAATTACAGTCACAGATGATAAAGAGCTAGTAACCATTTCACCTCTGGCATCAAACCCAGCTCTTTCTAATTACTCCACTCTCTCTGGCTCAAGGAGTACATCTAATCCCATACATGTGAACACACTAAAAATGCAGCAATGGCTGTCTATTCCTGCTGCCACCAAAGGTTCTTGAAAAATAAGTCTAATTCTTGAAAAGAAATCTTAAAGTCTCACCACTTTGCAAAACCCTTTCTAGTAATAGAGACAACTTACTATAAAGGACTCAAATATTGCTACTGTTTGAGTTAAAATAGTTTTCCCACAGTACTTTCCCCAAAGATTTTGCAAATATATTAGATGTAATGTAATGATCAGAAAGGAAGTTTGAGGAACAGAGAAAAAACTCTTGTCCATGATATTTCAAACAGATACTGTGCTTTTAAAGTACATCATGTCTCCTCATTCACAGTACCAATAATTTCACTTCTCTCTACTACATCTGCTGCTAGCTGAAGTCAAATATCTACTTTCATCAAACCCAAACCTGTCCCACACTCCTACCTTTCACAGCCCCCATATTAAAAGAAAGACTGGGGCTGGGTCTGTGGCAAAGTGGTAGAATGTGGTAGAATGAGTGCCCCACATCACAAGGATCTGGTTTTGATTCCCAACATTACAAAAAAAGAAAGAAAAAGAAAAGAAAAGACACTGATTGCTATGAAGTAAATACTTGTGATTTTCTGTTTTTATTATCTCTTCAACTCACCCTTCCCCTTTTATTAGCAATATCCACCCCACCGCCTGACCTGCTACAGGATTGGGTCCTATTTACATGAGATCAAAACCTAGCACATGTTCCAGAAATGCAACCTTCAGAAAAAGGTCCACAGCTTCTTTTCTAGAAAAGAAGAAGGTGGATTTTAAAATGTGACTGTTAAGTGACATTTAACACTAGTCCTGCTGGATGGAGGAAAGTCAATCTTTCAATAGGACTGAGAAGAGAAGATAAGCCAAACTTCAGAGAAAAAAGTGTACATTTTACTGAGTAAAGTACAGATATGAATCAGAAATGTGAACAAAGCCTTCTCAGGTTTTTGAGTTCCCCATTTCAGTCTTTGATGCCCTGTGGCTTCTGCCTTTGGGCTCCAAGACCATTCTTTTAGAAATCTTTAAATGCATTCCCAATCACTGTCTATCCTCATTCAAATAGGTTTCTACTACTTTCGTCCCAAAGTTTTCAACTAATATTTTCTGCACACCTTGAAGAAAATCATAAAGATGTTTTACAAACACTAGTTTCTGTCTACAGCACTAATCATCCCTAGCACCTCTTTGATTATTGAAAACTGACTACTACATTTTTAGATGTCTCCTTGTTCTGTTCGGTATAAGGTAGTAACAGACATCATGTGGAGCACATCACTTGCTCTAAGTGTTTTAAGCAATAAAATATGAACAAGGTGCTCCATAAATCACACAAGAAACAAGATGCTCAAGGAGCAAATAAGAAGCTAATCTGATAAATTACTTTTTTAAAAGATGCAAGCAGCTGGAGAGGATTAGGAGAGATAGTAGAATTAACTGGTCATAACTTTCCTAGCCTTGTGTTTGTATACATGACCAGGGTAACTCCACATCATGTATGACCACAAGAGTGGGAACCTAACAGAATAAGTTATACTTTTCGTATATTCTGCCAAAATACATTCTACCATCATGTATAACTAGGAAAAAAAAAAAGATGCAAGCAGAATTTCTCACACACTTCAGACTAAGATTAAAAAACATAAATCAGAACATGTTCCTTTTTCAATATTATTATT